AATGCTAATGTTTGGGTTCTTGATGTTATCCCGGAGGTCCCTTAAATTAGCCACGTTTTTAAAAATTCTTTTCCTGTTTTCTGTCCTGATTGGTTGATTCCCATTGTTTGTCTTCAGGATACATTCTTCTGTATTAGCTGATTCCCTCTAATGTGTTTTTCATTTCAGTTACTGTATTCTTCAGACCTGGTTGGTTCCTTATTATCCTTTCCTACCTCTTTGTTGAAGTTCTCCCTAAGCTTTTCTATGTCACTCTCAAGTTTGGTGAGCACCATTACGACCATTTCTTTGAATTCTTTATTACGCAAATTACTTACATCCATTTCCTTAGGTTTTTCTTTTTTCTGCACATTTTTCTTGTTCTTTCATTTGAGAGATAATTCTTGCATCTTTTCATTAATGTCTATGTTCTATGAATTAGATAAAATAGCCCTCTCTCCCAGTCTTTGAAAAGTGGCCTTATGTACCAGGGTCCTCGCTGTAGGCTGAGTCTGTCAGGTGATTTTGGTCGGCCAGAGGAGCCGAGCAGGTGTCAGGTGTCCTGGAGACTGGCCCCCTGAGCTGAAATGGCTCCAGGTGGGGCGGCCAGGTGCATGTAGTAATGACCTGTTGATCCTGTTTGCTCCCGTTGTTTGGGACTGAAATGGGTTTGGGTGATGTGTCAGGTACACTCTGCAGTTACCTTGCTGGTAGGCCAGAGCACCTGGATAGAGCCCCGCCCACCCTGTGGAGGCAGAAGGGGGCGTAAGCAATGGTGCTCTTTGGCACCTCCAACCAGGGATAATCCCCGCAGTCCCCAGAGACTCCAGTGGCTCCCCAGGCTTCTCTATAGTCTCTCTCTCCTTTGTTGTACAGAAAGTGGTCTTATGTAGAATGACCTCTGACTTTAGTGCCAGCTTGGAGCCCAGCAGGGAGGCCAGGCGCCTGCACCACCCAGTTGTTCCTGTTGCTCCCTTTGCTGGAGGCAAAGGATAGGGCAGCAGAGCTGGGGAAGTGGCTGTGATTTGCAGGCAAGGGAGGGCAGCCCTGAACAGAGACCCGCCTGCCCTAAGGCGTTCGCAGGCGCCTCCAGCCCATGGAGTTCCTGCAGCTCCCAGAGGGCGTCTGGCTTTCCCAGCCTTCTCCATTCGGTTGTTTGTTGTTGAGAAACTGTTCATGAAGCCCTTAGCTATCATGCAGGAGTAATTACTCTCTATATATGTGTATATTTCAGTTTGCTCATGGGAGAGGTTGAGTTCAGACCTCCTATGCTGCCACCATCTTGGACTTTTTCTTTCTAGTTTTCAAATGTGTAATGCTAGATGGTTTATTTGAAATTTTGTTTCTTTCTTGAGCTAGGCCTGTAATGCTCTAAACTTCCCCCTTTGTACTGCTTTTGCTGCATCCCACAAATTTTGGTATATTGCATTTTTATTTTCATTTGTCTTTATGTATCTTTAGATCTCTTCTTTTATTTCTTCTTTGACCCAATAATTTTTTAGTGGCATGTTGTTTAATCTTCGCGTATTTGTGATTTTCCCAGAAAATATGTTTGGTATGATATCAGTCTTCTTAAATTTATCAAGATTAGTTTTATTATCCAGTATATGGTCTTTCCTTGAGAATGTTCTGTGTGTACTTGAAAAGAATGTGTGTTCTGGAATTTTGGGATGTAGAATTCTACAAATACTAAGTTGATTTAACCTGCTATGTCTTTAAGGCCCATATCTCCTTATTGACTTTTTGTCTGGATGATCTATATTCATTGCTCTCAGTGGGGGATTCATGTCCCCTACTATAATTTTATTTTTGTCAGTTTCTCCCTTAGGTCTATTAGTAATTGCTTTATATATCTTGATACTTCCATGTTGGGTGCATACATATTAATAAGTGTTATGTCTTCTTAATGAATTGTCTCCTTTATCATTATAAAATGTCTATCTTTGTCTCTTGTTTCTTTTTTTTTTTAAATCTTAACATCTGTTTTGTTAAGTACAGCTACACCCACTTCTCTCTTTTTTTTTTTTTAAATCTTAACATCTGTTTTGTCTCATATAAGTACAGCTACACCCACTTCTCTATGGATGCCATTTGTTTGAAGTATCATCTTCACCCCTTCACTTTGAGCCTGTGTTTGTCTTTGTAATTGAGCAGAGTCTCCTGCAGGCAACATATAGTTGGGTCTTATTGTATAATCCATACCTCTACTTTGTGCCTTTTGACTTGTGAGTTCAATCCCTTTATAATTAGGGTTGTTAATGATATATGAAGATTTACCTCAGTTATTGTATCCTTTGTTTTCTTGTTCTATCTCCATTGTTTGTTTTCTCTTATAATTATTTCTGCTATTTTAGTTTGACAGTTTTCTATGATTTTCTTCTTCATTTCTTCTTCTTTTTTAATGTTTTATCTCAGCTCTGGATTTTTGTTTTGTGGTTACCATTAGGATTGTGCAAAATGTGTCACACATACATATAAGAGTCCTTTTTCTTCTGATGGCCTCTTCATTCACCTGTACTATTCAATCCTCTTCCTCCTCTTTTATCATTTTGTTGTTGCAAATTATCCCTCTTTATGTTGTGAACTTGTTATCTGCAATAGTTACAATTATTTTCATGCCCTTCCCCCCTTTAACCTTTATGTTATAACTAGTGGCCTGGTGCTTGAAATTCATGCCTGGGGGGGGCGGGGGGCGGTGTCCCTCAGCCTGGCCTGTACCCTCTCCAATCTGAGACCCCTTGGGGGATGTCCGACTGCCAGTTTAGGCCCAATCCCACACCGGCAGTTGGACATCCCTCTCACAATCTGGGACCGCTGGCTCCTAACCGCTCACCTGCCTGCCTACTTGATCGCTCCTAACCACTCTGCATGCCTGCCTGGTCACCCCTAACTGCTCGGGTGAGGGGTGGATGGCTGTTTGCAGCTGGTCATACCCCCTTCAGGGTGGGAATTCCCACTGGGGTGCCTGGCCAGCCTGGGTGAGGGGCTGAGGGCCGTTTTCAGGCTGGCCAGACCTTCTTCAGGGTGGGGGTCTCTGCTGGGGGGCGTGGCCAGCCTGGGTGAGGGGCTGATGGCCGTTGGCAGTCTGGCCAAGCCCCCAGCTTTGTCCAGAAGGACGTCCGGAAGGTCTCTGGAAGGTCTCCCGGTCTAATTAGCATATTACTCTTTTATTAGTATAGATTATTTAATAAACTACTCTGAAATAGGTTTTCAGTTTCCTGCTTCTATCTATTAATCATCTTATTCAACGTTTTGTGTACTTTTGTGTTTTTGTTTCCAGTAGAAGACCTCCTTTCAACATTTCTTATGTGCAGTCTTACGGTGGTAAATTCTCTCAGCTTTTGTCTGTCTGGGAAAGCCTTTATTTCTTCTTAATGTCTAAAGGATAACTTTGCTGAATATCTTATCTTTTGCTGATGGGTTCCTCTCTTTCAATATTCTAAATATTTTCTTTCACTCTCTCCTCTCTTGTAGTGTTGCTACTGAAAACATTACAGAAAAATCTGGTGATGATCATCTAATGGAGTTTCCTTTGTTGGTTAATCTTTATGTTCCCTGGCTGCCTTAAGAATTTTTTCTTCGTCATTAATTGTTGACAGTTTGAACAAAATGAGCCTTGGAGAAGGTCTTTTTGCATTGATGTAATTAGGTGTCCTGTTAGCTCCCTCTAGTCTAACGTCTAGTTCTTTGCATAGGCTTGGATGTTCTTGTCAGTTATTTCTTTAAGTGGGATCTCTGTTCCCTCCTCTCTCTCTTCTCCTTCTGGTACACCGTATCTATTATCCTTACATTGCTCTTTCTAATGTAGTCAGCGCTTTTATTTTTTAAATTTTAACTCTTAGTTCTCTCTCTTCTTCATGGGTTATTTCTAGGTTTCTCTCTTCAAGTTCCCTAATTCTTTTTTCCATCTGGTCTGCTCTGTTTCCAATGCCCTCTAGTGCATTCTTTATCTCATTTATTGAGTTCTTCAGCTCCAGAATGTGTTTCTCTTTTTATAGTTTGAATCTCTTTGGTAAAGTACTGCTTTTGCTCATTAATTGTATTCCTGAACTTATTGACTTGCCTTTCTGAGTTTTCTTGTATATTGTTGAGTGTCTTTGTAATTGCAGTCTTGAATTCTCTGTCATTTAAACCACAGTCTTCCATGCCTTTGAGTTTGGTTCCTGGAGATTTTTCATTTTCTTTCTGTGCTCCCAAGTTACCCTGTTGTTCATGGTATTTGATGGGTTCTCTGTGTGTGCATTTGAGGTAGAGATCTTATGGCTCTGCTCCACCCCTACAGTAATGGCTTCCCAGCCACCTCTATACCAGCTTTGCCTTAATGGGGAGGGCAGAAGGGAGATGCCTTTTTTAGGAAGGAAACTGCTTCTGCCCCTCTGACCCTCCAGGTTGTAGTGTGAGGGCTGCAGCCAGACTTCTCCCTCACTGTTGTGCTCCTTGCTCGCTGGAGCCAGGGTGGGCACCAAACTGCATCTGTGGTCATGTCCCTGTCCTTCCCCTGTCCCCCCTCCCTTCCTGACCTTCCCCCATCCCACCTTCCCTACTCATTTCAACATGCCCACCTTCAGATGTGCTAACGCATGGATCTTTGAGGCGTGTTTGTGTGCTGAGCAGGGGATCTTTGTTGAGTTATAATTGTCTTGAGATAAATTTAAGAGGAGAAACAATGGAGTCTTCTCACTCCGCCATGATGCTGATGTCATCTCTCCCCATTTACTTTTAAAAACTTATTGCTGTTAGGTAACATTTTTTGAAGCCTAGTTTTTAGTTGCTGTGTATACTTGAAGCATATTAAAAGTGTTTCTTGAAACATATTCTATAATTTAAACTTTTTCCATGTTAGTTTGGCTTTGTGAAGTATTTTTATAGGTACTTATTCTACTCAAATTATAATAGTGATACAATTTTAATAAAGAGGAAATAAGCAAAATACTTTTAACTAGAGGTATTTATTTCCTTCTCTATTTGATTTTCTTGAACTAGTAGAGTCTGTATGGTAAGCTGTTGCCTCTGCATTTCAGATACTATGCCGTCATGGTGACCATGTTCTTCACGGTCAGCGTGGTGAACAACTATGCCCTGAACCTCAACATCGCCATGCCCCTGCACATGATATTTAGATCCGTGAGTACTGCTGCTCAGATCAGTGAGCAGAGGCTGACTGTCGTCTGAGAAGGCCGAAAGAGAGCAATGTGAAAGTGGACGGTTTACTTTTATCTGTCCCAGGGCTTATGGGTGATTGATAAAAGGAAAGTTAACATTTTCCTGAGAAACAGATTTTAACTTTCAATTTCCTTCATCTGGTTGATTTTATATTCAAACTTGCTATGACTGTTCTTTAATATTTCTCATCACTTTTTGTTTCTTTCTTACATAAAATTACATTTATTTCTAGTAAATGAAACAGACCCTTCTTTCATTTCTTTTGTGTGTCTCTGTGTGTGTGTTGTTAATCCTCACCTGAGGATATTTTTCCATTGATGTTTAGAGAGAGTTGAACAGAGGGAGAGAGAGAAACATCGATGTGAGAGAGACACACGGGTTGGTTGCCTCCCTGTATGTGCCCCGACTGCGAGAGAGACACACGGGTTGGTTGCCTCTCTCTCTGTGCCCCGGCCATGGCCGGGGAACGAACCTGCAACCCAGGTATGTGCCCTTGACCAGGAATCAAACCCACAATCCTTCAGTGCTCAGGCCCACACTCTAACCATTGAGATACACATGCCAGGACCAGACCCTTCTCCTTCCTGATTTTTTTTTTAAATCAGAGACTTGAGATAATTAAAGGAAAATTCTTGATGGAGGCATGCTTCTTCCAAAGCAGTAGAGGTTTTTTCTTTGCCTCATGTATGGTGAGAGATCTGTGTTCAGTATATAGATAAGAACAGTTTTCCCTGGAGGGCAGAAAAGACTTCAAGGGAAATATACTTAGGGTTGCAGAAGAATACAGAACGGGTGAGGATTAGAATTGTAACATTTTGGTGTGGTCTGAGATTTTTGTGAGGTCAAATGTGTTCTTCCTAAAGGCACGTCCCAGAGCTAATTATAATGACTAAGATGACCCTCACAGGATGGAGCACATAGTAGACTTTCTATGAGCACTTGGTGAAGGACAGACACCCTTCCAGAGAAGAGAGAGATCACACAAATTCTTTCCTCAAAACGCGGGGGGAGGAGAAATGTAGTAAAAGCTCTTATAAATTAGATGGAAAAGTTGACAAAAATAAGCCTGTAATAAGCTTCAGCTATGAGTAGTTATTGAGAATTGATCATTGTTATCTTCATTGTCATCTTTAAAAGGCGTAATTATTTTGCAAGATAGATTTTTATGGCTTATACTTGTTGCCATCATAAGAACACCTGGACCTTACTAATTATTCATCCTAATCTCCTCCTGCCCAGCTGTTTTTCCCTCTTGGCGATGTTCA